TTGCAATAATTACAATATAAAACTACTTTTCAAGATGGAAATTGCCTAAGAAAAAATGAGAAACAAACATCTTTAATCTGAGCTTGGTATGGGAAAAAAGTACTTGATTAAGTAGTCACATTTTCTCTTAGCATATACGGGAACTTGAAAAATTAAATGTAAAAGTTTCTATTTCGAAGCATTTATATTTTTTAAAGGTTGAAATAATGGCTTCAAAGGGCTCTGATTCTTTCAAAATTCTAGACTTACCAATGAGTGCAAGTAGCCAAATAGGGCTCTGGCACACTTGTAAGTGCAAAAGTTGAACTGCTTTCCTCATGTGTAGGCACGTGGTTACATTTACAGTAAAAGCAGTGGCCAAATACTACCCACCATGATTATCATGACCTATCACATGTACTAAGGATAATTAAAAATAGGGTTTAATTTCAAGGAAAATTTTATTTTAAAATAAACCCACATTTCATATATATTTACATAGTAAAAACACATGGTAATAATCTAGTCAAATAAGAGGAAATTAGTGGATATATACTTACCATGGTTTTGCCTCTCATAGCACTTTCAAATATCCTCAAAGCCATGAAGGATTCCTTGAGATTTGTTAAATATTGAGGGGAGAAGACTGTCTCCTGCAAAATATAATAAATAAAAAATTATTTTCCTGTGTACATAGCAGCACATTTCATCTATATTTCTCAGTTCTGTTCTTGAAAGGTGAATAGAGGATAGCACATATATTTTATTGTTTCAGTCATTCAGTACTTTTTTCTGATGATGGTAACAATACTGTTAACATAAAGTCATACCCTATTTATTTGGTCTTATTACCTTGTGTTTCTAATTTCTATAATCCAAATATTGTACCTCATCATTAATAAAGAAAGATTTCGTGAGGCATCGAGTTTCCATATGCCAAGACAATTCTCTGTGATAATTTATACTGCCAAATGTCTTAATGAATATATACAAGTAGTCATTAATCTGGCAAGACAATTTTCAAAAATTTATTTGGCTCCTGGCACGATCACATATACAAATTCTTACTGGGATCTTGAATATTATATAAGGTTAGAAATAACACATATAACAATTACTAGATATTCTCATTATAAATATATGTCATAATATACACTCTTCAAGGAATAATAAAACACGCCTACAGACAACCCAGAGAGAGACGGGAGGTAAGGTCACTTTAGACATCAGCGACATTCCAAGGGACGAATACTGGGGCCCTTCACTTAACACCTGGGGAGTTTTAAGACTGTTGGGAATTGTGTGCGACATGAACAGCCGCTCCGGCTGTGCCCGTCTCTCCCTCTCTCTCTGGTTGTCTGGATTTCTCTTCCAACTTGTGGTGTGATTATTTCTCTCCCCACCTTATTATATTGCCACATAAATATAATAGGATATATATATGTTATATTAAAATATTTTATTTAAAAAAATATATAATTTCATAGATATAAATGCTCTGTTTTAATCGACCGCCAGAGGTCACGCTTCTACTATATAAACTGATTGTTGTTCTTCCCCGATTGGCCGACCCAAAACTTTGTAATTATGTAAATAATCTTTTCATTTTTTTTATTCTTACGCCTTAAGCCAGGCGGTACTTGTACAGAGTTATGTTTATCCTAAAACTCCATTGAACAATATCTGATCAAAACTGTTATTATTTTTATTTCAAGATTATTCAACCACGACTGCACCACCATAGTATAATCACCAAGATGATCCAAAACAACATAAATCTTATTTTTTAAATTTATATAATATATATATATAGGATGAATAAAAGAGAAAAATATTCTTTGATGATTTTTCTATATAAAATTAGGTCATTTTAGAGTTATGCCCCTCCCCCACTCCTTATTTTAAACATTGAAAGCAGAGTTGGTAGATGCACATTTACTACTGAGAACACATTCTTTTATGATGCACTAGCGCGCCATCTGTTATCAAAATTCAAAACTATTTTAAAGGCGTAAGATTCTTTTTGATTTTAAACAATTTCTACTGTCCTTACTGCAATGGAAAAATTAATGAGAGGGCCTGGCTCATCAGTGGTGAACCCTCTCAGCGGTTTCGCCAGTTTAATCTACCATACCGCTGGTATATTGCATTTTGGAACTTCCTTTTATAGTGATACTGTTGGTAGACTCTTTGAATGGGTATTTTAGATGAACTATGGACATAAGCTTTGGGGGACATTAGAATTACATACATTTATAAATATATTTTTATAAATAAATAATTTTTCCATTGCAGTAAGGGCAGTAGAAATTGTTTAAAATCAAAAAGAATCTTACGCCTTTAAAATAGTTTTGAACATTCTTTTATACTTTTGAAAAAGCGTGAAATTATTCAACCTAGTGGGATTTATGTACCAAAGAGCCACCTCTTGGATTAAAACATGGCATTTGGTTTCATCACCCCAATACAGAACGTTATAATGGTGATGAATGTGCTACAACACTAGTTTTGGGGCAAATGTACTTGTCAATATGTATTAGTATTTAAAATGCATTAGTATATTCGTAAAATTCTCAAATGAAAAGACAATTTTTATACAAAATTTAAAGTGTAAAGCTACCTTCATTTTAAGTTTTCATATATATTTTATTCTAAATTTTTATATAAAACATATATATTTATTTGGCGCGCTTAAGACTACCCAATTAACAACAACAAAGAGACATGTCATATATAATAAGATGTAAAATGTAGTTTATAAAAGCGTATTTAAAATATATTATTTTGAATAATTTAGTGATAATTTATCTGAGTATTATATTTGTGTGGTGTGATTTTATAAAGTTGTTTGTATACATTTATAATCAAGATTTCCAAAAAACAAAAAAAAATTATTTAACTTTAGAATTTGAACAACCCAATTTAATTCTTGAATATGTATTTTATATATTTTTAAAATATACTTTGATTCACTAGTTTGTGTTGCAGGCATATTTATATTGAATGTTAGAATTTATAATTTGCTGAAGTAACTGCGATTATTTTTTAGGCTCAGACATGTGTGCCAATATTGCACTTTTACTGTAAGACAATATTTTACATTTTAATTTAACATTTTACACTGTAAAATACTTTACATTTCGATAATAGATAGCTACAAATGCATATTCTCCAATTTTACATGTTAATAATGTAGCATGGGCAGACTTCATGGAACAGGAAGCTCGTGCCAGCGCCGGGTTGTTCCACGCGAACTCAGGTGCTAGTGATTCTTTTCTTTGCTCTCATATAAACAACCTGTATAAACTTCATATAAATTTCTCTCGCTTATTAAATTGTTCTTAATTGCCATACAACTTACTAATTATTGCATTCACTACAATAACAATTTCATTTTTATGAGATCTACAAATTTAATTTTTTTCAAATATTTATCTCTATATATATAAAAATGAATGTATGTTTGTCTGTTTGTCTGTCTGTATGTCCGGTATACAAATTCGCAGTAGTTCACTAGTTCAAACCAAAATTTCCATACATAGGTAAAAGAATACTGGGAAGACGATAGGCTATTTTAAAAAATATATAAATCAATTATTAAAACCATATATTTTTATTCAGAAAATGATGATGACGTTATTGCTGTATCATGTTTGATTATCAGATACAAAATTATATCGGGGGAAAAATTCCAAAAAGCAGAGACCATGGGTGAAACCAGTTCATTATTTTGTATGCAGGAACAAAATTCTAACAGAAAAACATTCATTCGAGCAGAAAACAAAAGCCAGATCATCTTTCTATAAAAATATCGCTTCTCAGACACAAAGTTTGGAGCGGGACGTTTCACAAGAGTGACATCCACGGCGCCAATTTATAATTGTAACGAATAGTATTTGAATAGGGTACATTTAATAGGGTAAAACCCGGCCGCGTTGCCCGGGTCCGGCTAGTACTATATATTTTTAGTTTAATCAAAATATAAAATATTTTGATTGAAATTGGTCTAAATTATATAGAGAAAGAGAGAAATTAGAGGAAACCTTGTTCCTGGAGCGCCAGCTAGCCTAGCTTTACAGATGTCTATGTTGGAGGATGCCCTGAAGACAATAATTTAACGAAATTAGTTGTAAATAGCTGGTGGCCTAAATAAATTTAAATAGAAATGAAATGATATTTTCTGGACGAGGGCAAAATTAACAACAACGAAAAAAATAACTCACCTCTATGTGAAAGTGTTGTGGCAGGGGAGGCAGAGTCCCTAGTCTTTAGTTAACCGAGGATCAATTCTGACAGCCAACTGACTGCTGTAGCATGAAGCCTGTAACTACAACTACATTAGAGGAACCTAACTCACCCTACTCTATTTTCCAAAATAAATTGCCCGCCAACTCAACTGGTCAAAAATTTTAAATTATTTTCAGAGTAATGTAGAGTATCAAATTATTTCTTGTACTCTACACAGAGATCTCTATTAATTAATTTTCACAAGTAAATAAATAAATATTTGATATTATTTATTTTAATCTTCCTCTACTATAATTAGCTAAATTATATTTATTAATATACACATAATTTCAAAATATATTATTAAAACATTTCATATAGTACTTATACCGTTCATAATTTACATTATGAAATATTCTTTCATCTTTGAAAGTTTATTTATGATATTTAAAATGCCAGAACCCTGTTTGGTCACTGTTATGATTGATCCGGCAACAAGGCAGACTCGACTTGTAAACATTCTTAGATATATAACCATGTTATAAAAAAAAGATAAGTAAATAAATAAAGAACTTAGTTCAGTTGCAGTCTGCGTGATCAAAGAGGCACAAAGAACAACATAAACAACAGTTACTTGCCCACTCAATGGTGGGGTTGGATTTTTGCAAGAATTGGGGGTAATTGAGGCAACATTTTCTTAATAAAAAAGTGTCTAATGTGGGATTCGATTTTGTGTCAAGGCTGTCAAAAATTGATGGTTTATACCACTCATCCAACCACCTCCTAAAAGGAAAAGTCTACAGCAACCAGCGTTCTCAAGTGGTCACCCTCCCAAGTACTGAACAAGGCTCGACATTGCCCAACTTCGGTAGATGAGAACTGGTGTTTTTTTTTTTTCATGTGGTATGTCTGTAGGAAAACTAAGAACATTAAGTTCAACTACCCTTTCTATTTTAATTTATTATTTGACAATTTTAAATAATTTCATTTTTCATTTAAGAAATGAAATTTATGTAATAATATTTGTGAAAATATTAATTTTATAATCGATTATAGATCATCATATAACAAACTCATCTCCCCACCTCGGTGTTCAAGACGAGTAATTAATAACAATAAACCACTTGGTCTTGCCCTCTGACATTTGCATGTTGTCATATTTTCTTACTTTGCATTTTGTTAAGGTCATTGCACACTAGCCTCTACATCCACCAAATAAAACATTGCCTTTTTGGTTCCTGATATTTTTCTCAAAAATTGAATTCAACTTGAATTTAAAAAATAATTTCATTATAAAGTTGCAGGAAGATAGTATTCATGTACTAAAAAGAGACACCTCTCCTGTTAGAAATGCATTAAAAAGTATTTTTGGTTCACCCACAGAATGTTAAGGTATATAGTACAGATTGGCTTTGCCTGGCGTTGTGTAACCTTCTTCATTAACACCTTATTCTTTTTGTACTGGAATTATTAACCAAAATATACCCTTTAATGCATATTTAATGGGAGAGGTGCCTCTTTCAGTGAATATCTTTTCACATAATTATTATAAGGTACAATTTGAATTATAGATTAAAAATGCAAGAATTTAAGACCAAATCCAAAATTGGATTTGGTCTTATTACTTTGTGTTTCATTAAAAATTTTCCTAACCCACTATGTTAAATTATTTTATTTTTTTTTGCTGCTTCTGTGTAAAAATACTCTAAAATAAATTTGTTGCTTGCAGGAGTGGTCCTGAAAAGAAAACAATTTACCAGGCACATTCTTAATCCTAATTCGCGCTTGCACATTGAAAAGCTCATCGTGCCGGTTAACAAAGATATATTCATGAGATTGGGTGTTCCATGCTGTGGGAGAGAGGACCGTGAACTCTCCTTATGCTTCTCCAGAAGTTTTGTTGGAGAGGAATTCTACCAGGATGTTGTAAGAAGGCAGGAGGAGAGAAAGAAGAAAGAAGAGGAAGAAAAGAAGAAGAAGGAAGAATAAATGAAGAAAGAAGGTGAAGTGAAGGAGGAAGAAATAGAAGTCAAGGAGGAGGAAAAAAAGAAAGAAGTGAAGGAGAAGGAAGAATCGGAGGAGGAAGAAGAGGTGAAAGGTCGAGCAACGAAGAAGGGAAAGATGGAAAAGAAGGGGCAAAAAATGAAGAAAGAAAAGTGTTGCGCCCAAAAGGAATAAAAAAAAAACTTAAAGATCAAACAAAACTCTTCCCCACTTTTCTTCTCTGACACACCGTTTGAAAGTGATCAAATTAACCAAACTATGAGAATCTCTTGTCTGAAAAATCAAAATTAATTCTCACACTGCTGTCTCAGCTAACATTAAGTGAAAATTTTCTACATCCAAAAACCCAATGCTCTCTCTAAAATATTTTTTTCTCTTGCACCAACATCGTGAATTATCCAAAACTTGCCAAAACTTAACAATTTCTTCTAAGCTTTCAATATGGACTAAAACTGTTCTTCAATATGTATATCCACCTATTTTACCATATCTATATTATTCATATATATATACAGTCGAACCTCTTTAATTCAACACCCCAAGGGATCAGAGCTTTTGGTTGAATTAAAGGAATTGTTGAATTAAAGTTATTCAGATGATTAGCTAATCATCTAACTCGCTAAAATAATATTTTTTAAAATAGCTTTGTAATATAAATTAATCATATTAATTGAAACCATTGTGTGTGTACTTTTTAAAAACTTTTATTTGACTTGCCTCCATGTCTGTCTGCCTGGATGTCTGTCGCCAAATCTTGTAATCAATTTTTAATATACTTATAGGGCACCTAGAAATATGAAATTTGGTACACATGTTCAAACCTGATGACAATGCTAGCTGACCAATTTTCAAACTTCTGGGTTGTCAGGTTGGCCAAGAACGGACAAATTTCCTTTCAAATTTTGTATATTTAATTTTAAATATGCTTCCAGACCATATAGAATAATGAAACTCACAATACTCGCTCAGGAACACAATGAAGAATGCGTAGATCAGTACGATAAAGAAGAGATATCAAGAAGACAATTGATGAAATTGAATGGCGGTTGTAAGATTTCAGTTAGAAACAATCCAGCTGTAGTGAGAGTGCCATATTTCAAGGTCGATATTGAGCCGGAAAACTATTACTACAGCTTACTTCTCCAGTACCTGCTATATCGTGATGAGTCCAAAATATTGTACGAGTTCAACACAGCTCGCGAGGCATTTGTGGCTAAAGAACAAGATCTGCGACGTATGAGCAAGTATCTGGAGCTGTACAAGGAACATGACAAGCTACTTGAGAATACCTTCAATCAGGTACATACATTCGAAATCCTAAGCCAAGAGCCCTTTCAAATTGAAGAAGACCACGAAGAAGAGGTACCTGATCAGCTAATGAATGATGAGCAGTTTCATTTGGCGCAGAGGTCAATGAACATTGCCCAGCGAGACGTGTATGAACACATCACACGCAGCCTTCAAGAGCAATTCAGTGGTAGCGATTTAAGATTACGGCTCTTTATAACTGGCAATGCGGGTACAGGAAAGACCTTCCTGTTCAAACTTCTCAAGAACCAAGTAAATCGATGTTACAGAAAGCAAGTAGTCAAAGTGTGTGCTTTGACCGGTGTAGCGGCTCGTCTTGTTGGAGGGTCAACCCTGCACACCACACTAAAATTACCAGTTCAAAAAGACGGAAAGATTGTACACAAATGCCGATGTTGACAGGAAACTACCCGAGACTGATGCATCAACAATGGATTGACACAGAATTCATTTTCATCGACGAAATCTCTATGGTACCTTATGAGATGCTGTGCATGATAGATTCGCGTCTCCGACAGCTGAAAAATAAAGAAAAGGTCTTCTTCGGAGGAATCAATGTGCTCCTATTCGGTGACTTGATGCAGCTACCACCAGTTAGAGGAAATCAGGTGTTTGACCAACCACTCAGGATGAAGCCAGCAACAAACTTATGGCGCCTATTTACAATGGTTGAATTGAAAGAGAATATGCGACATCAAGGAAGCACAACATTTATCGATATTCTGAATGCATTACGAATTGGAGAACTTCGAGCTGAGCACATTGCAGTTCTATTGGAAAGAGTCCTTAGTGAAACTTCTGGTGACTTCTCTATTGAAAAGGCTTTAAGAATTTACCCAACCAATGATCAGGTCAATGCTCACAATCAAGCAGTCCTTCAGCATTTCCGTGAAAAGAAAGTAGAGATGTTCAAGATTCGCGCTCAAGACCAGTTAGTTGATGCAACACGTAATTCTGATCATGTTAACATGGACGACATAATACCAACTGATATCAACAAGACAGGAGGACTGCCGAAGGAATTGGAGATATTTGTTGGGGCAAAGATAATGCTGCGATCTAACATCGATGTGTCCAAGGGATTAGTCAATGGAGCGATAGGCTTTATTACAGAGATTATATGGCCCCACTTCCGCCGTGCCCAAATGTATGAAACGGACATACCATCAGTTCGAGTAGACTTCGCACAAGACGGCAATCATTTGATTCGGCAGATAGTAATACAATTCCAGGCCAAGTATAGCTATGGAACCGCGGAAAGTAGAATTTTGCCAATGGTCTTGTCTTGGGCATCAACAGTACACAAAATGCAAGGAAGCACTGTTGATCACGCAGTAGTTTATTTGGATCGAAGCTCTTTGCGGATGGCCAAGCTTATGTTGCCGTCAGTAGAGTCAGATCACTAGAAGGCCTGCAGATAGAGAAATTGGACTGCAACTAATTGACAGGACTGAAGCCATGCAATAAGGAGGCACTAAAAGAAATGGACCATATGCAAAATCACAGATGTGATTTAAATAATATATATAACTGAAATTGCATAAATAAATACTTAATAATAAAAAGACTCATTAATAAAAAACTTTTATTTAACCTGCTTCTATATCTGTCTGTCCACAAATCTTGTAATCAATGTTTATATACTTCCAGAGCACCTTTTTAAATAGTTCCCCTTTTTCAATTAGTATGTTGTTACTTTTAACTATTTAATCAATTGTTTAATTATAATTAAAATTTTATATGTACCAATTATGCTCTAACAATAATCCACTGGGTGTCTCTAACTTTGTAATATAATTCAATAAATTTAGGGTTCCCAAAAGCAAAGAGACGCAGTTCTGTTAGTAACGGATTTTGCTTACGTCACTTCCGACCTCCCACGAGGAATTGACCAATCTGCTGCGAGCAGGCTTGCAGCTATTTAAGGCCAACGTCGTCTCAGTTATAAGGCTTTTTTTTTACTGGCATATATACGACTAAAAATAGCGTAAATAATTAATTATAAAAAACACTATTAAAAAAAAGCTTTTATTTAAAATGCACTAAAAATAACAAAATAAATATTTCTGAAGTATTGCTTTTTTTTGCTGAAGGTACCATTTAACAAATAAAATAATAGACTTAGAAATAAAAAGCGGTGAGGGATAATAGCCATGTATTTGAGATTTTCGTGATTTCATATGAAGCAAATGATTAGCAAGATTACGCCTTTCATTAAATTTTTGCCTATTTTAATGCATAAACGATGATCATCCCCCAAGAATAAAATAAATATTTTTGAATGTGCCATTTAACAAATAGATTAATAGAATTAGAAATAAAAGCGGTGGGGTACATTAATAATAAATTTGAGATCAATGTGATTTTATATGAAGCAAATGATTAGCAAGATTATGCCTTTCATTAAATTTATACCTATTTGCTGCATAAATGATTATCATCCCCCACCGCTTTATTTCTAATTCTATTAATCTATTTGTTAAATGGCACATTCAGAAATATTTAATTTATTCTGGAGGGATGATCATCAGGAGATGCCTTTTTCTTAATTTATGCACCTTATCCCAGTACAATATCACATTTGTGCTATTATTT